AGAGAGGGAGAGAAATATCAATGTATGGTTGCCTCTCAAGCATCCCCCACCGGGAACTGGCCTGCAACCCAGGCATGTGCCCTAACTGGGAATCAAACTGCAATCTTTGGTTTGCAGGTCCGTGCTCAATCCACTGAGCTACACCAGCCAGGGCTAGTCATCATTTTCTTCAAACAGGTTCTTAGTCCCCTGATGTCTCTCTTCTTGTACCTTGATGATGTGGATGTTATGCTTGATGTTGTCTCAGAGGTCCGTTAGACTTTCCTTTTTTTCAATCCTCACCCAAGGATATGTTTATTGATTTTTAGAAGAGAGGAAGGCGGGTGGAAAGGAGAAGGAAAATGTTGATCACCTGCCTCCTTTGCAGGTGGGAATGGAACCACAATCCTTTGGTTTGCAGGCCCGCACTCAGTCCACTGAGCTACACCAGCCAGGGCTCTGTCCGCTTTTTATGTTTTTAAATGTTAGCCTTCCTTTTTGCAGTTTCTTCTATTGTTTCAAAGCTGACATTTAGCCATAAATATAAAACTGTCCTCCTTATACAGTTTCTGTGACTGTTATTTAAAACGTTTAGCATTTTAATACACTTGGAGTTTATCTTGAAGTATAATGTGGAATTTTCTTTTTTTCCTCAACATTTTCATTCATTTCTCTGAGCACGCCTTACTAAGTCATCCTTCTCACTGCCGTGTTTGGGAATACTACTCTACTATGTGTCTCGTCGGGATTATGGGTATACTAGCGTTCGCTCAGTCTCATTCCTTTAAGTTGATCTCAGCTGCTATTTTTGGCTGTGATCTCAGCCCAGACAAAGGAAAGGAACTTGTCGCCCCCTGCAGGCAGGAGGCCGCTGTCCCGCACCGTAGGGCAGAGCCCCGGGGGGCGCTGTCCTTCTCTGAGCCTGGGTGGAAATGTGTCGCACCGTCCTGGTAGGAGGATTTGAGGCCCCTTCAATCGGCCTCCTTCCGTCTACATCTCCTGGGACCTCGAGCTTCCCGGATTCCATCTCTCTAGTATCCAGTGGAGCCTGGCCTGTACCCAGCAGGGAGGCGGGGGCTGCCCCTCGTGGGCTCTCGCCTCGCGCCTTTCCACTTCTCTGACCCCACGGCCGCGGCCGGAGGTGCTGGCCGTCTGCACAGAATTCCGCGGAACCACAGAGGCGCCGAGCCCCGAAAGGGCGCTGAACTTCCAGCTCGTTGAGAAGCTGCTCGCTGGGCCGGAAGCTGCTCACTTCCCCGGCTGCCCTCCATCCTTGCAAGCACATTTCTGACTGTACCCACTGTTGGAAATGTTGGAGCATTTAAATACGAAAAAATAAAACACCGTATTTATTCAACAGATGTACATATACCTACTTTGTGTGTGCCAGATACTGTTGTCGAATGAGCCCGGTATTGAGCCTGCCCGAGGCGCCTAGAACCAACCGGGTTCGGTTGCCAAAGTGGAAATCGGGTTTGAGCATCTCAGGGATGCGTGGATAGCCGTCCTGGGGTGGTCGGCGATGGGGGATGAAAGGGTTGAGTTATGCGTCCGTCCCTCCACTCTCTGTTTCCCCATTAAGCTGCGATCCGCCGCGAGGAGCGTGTCCAGGCCCCACGCAGCCTGGGGCCTCGCGCCGCCCAAGCGGTGAGTGGGAAGCCGAAGCCCCAGGGCGCTGCACCCCGAGCGCCCCTCTTGCGGAAGGGGCTGCGCTCCCCAGGCGAGGGCTGAGCTCCCGGGAGCGCCCAGGCGAGGGAGCTCGAGGGCAGGACATTCTTCGTGTTGCAACCGCGGGTGACAGCCACCCACGCCTGGGACCCTAGGGACTCCATCCAGAGACGCTCACCCGGAGCGACCCCAGTGACTGTGTCTGGCGCCCAGCCCGCATTGGTAAATCTTTGGACACGCGCTGACAGTCTACGTCCGGAAGCCCGGTCATAAATGGAGACTAAAAGTTAAACACATGTGAGCCAGCCAGTGGCTGCAGCATTTCCGTGGCAAAACCCCCGGAAAGCACGGTTGGTTCCCCCAGGGCCTAGGGTCCTCCAAAAGCCCTGCGCCCAGAAATGCCTGGGACCTGGAGCGGAGGACTGGCCTCCTGGACCCACTTCTCTTGGAAGAGTCTAGGGGAGACAGCCTTGCTGCGGGAATAGGGGACCTCTGCGTAGGATGCCCCACTTAACATGCTCCTGAACGTGCACATGCGTTTACCGTTTCTCTGGAGAACATACACAATACCAACAAGTCTCTGAATTCAGTACTTCCTTTCAATGAATTTGTATCCGCTCATCACAATCCAATCAACAGACTCGAAAAATAGCGCACACACATTGTACGCATGGGATGTAAGACATGGTATTTATTCAAGACCAGCAGAGGTTCTTAAGGGAGGTCCAGGGACAAGTAAAAGGGTCTAGGACTTAGGGGTCCACAAAACCCCTGAAATTGTTTCAAAATTTGAGTTGATGTGCATTTTTCTAGGATGAAGTTCCATAGCTTTCATGACAACCGAGGAGTTTATTACAGATAAACTGGTTAAGAAAGGCTGGCCTGTCAATACTCAGCAGTTTATGGCTTTAGAACCCTTTGCACTAACACCGAGGGCCCCTGAGAAACGAGGCCCGCAATCTGGACCCAGTGCAAGAGCTTGGCTCTCCTGTGAGTGTCAGGAGGGCTACACGTGGCTATGCCTCCCTCTCCTCCTCTGGCCCCTCACAAAAACTCCACTTCGTACCGTTGGTTTCAGTTTAAAGCCAAGTCAGGCTCAAGTAAGATTTACTTCTGCATTTCTCTGAGCTTAAATAGAAATAACCCTCCAGTGGGTTTTTTTCTTTGGAGTTAGTCATGCAAACGCTCTATGCCTCACTTACCACCCGGTCAGTGCACGGGCCTGGCCCAGCAGCCCTCTGCCCCCATGGGAGTCTCTGCGGCACTTCGGTGCTGACCTCACTGGGCTGGGATTTTCCTCAGCCAATGTGCCCACAGAGTTAAAACATGTTCCTTTTATGGAAAAAAGAATACAAGATTTTTTTTTAATTATGAAGAAAAAAACCCAAAACCACACATAACCCCACTAATAAGCCTAACACAGTAACTAATTTTGTTTTTAATAACAGCTGTCACTTACTATATTAAAACATTCTGCAAAATATAACCACATTTGGCATTGCTGTGATTATAGTAGTACAATAATTATATATGAAAAACTTCTGTTTTATGACATTCTACTCTTTCTTAACATACTATAAACATTTTGCTGTATTCACAATTAGTTTTTAATGAATGCATGCTTTTCCACCCTACAGGCACACTTCGTCACTACCCTTTGCTGTCCAGTGAGGCACTTCAGGTCATTGGGGCGTGTGTGTGTGTGTGTCTGTATGTGGTTGTGCATGATGTTATTACCATGAACTTGTGTTCAGAGAGTTCATGCTGAGGTCTCTTTTCTCTGGCCAGCTTTTGTTGTCATGATAAACTTTTAAGCTCCAGAAAAGCCACGTTCCATTCATTCATCCATCCAGCACGTATTTAACAAATGTCATCTATATGATGGACACTGGTCCAAGCACTGAGAATACAGAAGTGAGTGGAACGAAGTCGCTGCTACTACGGAGTGTATAGTCCAGTTAGGGGAGCCAGACAACGATGACAAGTGCGACAAAGAGAAATGAGGCCGGGCAAGGACGGTTGAGTGTACCCTGTTTTGTTTTTTTTAATAGTCAGGGGACATCTTTTTGATAAGGTGACGTTTGAATAGAGACATGAAGAAAGTGAAGAAGCAACATTTTTGCAAATCTGGGAAAAGGCTTTCTAGACAGAGGAACACCAGTGCAAAGGTCCTGAGGCCTTGTGTATGCTTGGCATGTTAGAGGAAGCCCGTGTGACAGGAGTGAAATGAGAGGGAGAGTGAAAGTGGATGCAGCTAGAGAGGTGGGTTGTGCATGGTGAGGGGCCACACCCTGTGGGGCCTACAGGATTTTACTCTGAGATCAGGGGTGATGAGAGGGTTTTGAGCAGAGCAGTGAGATGCTCTCACTTACCTTTTAAAAGAATCGATTTAGTCATGTGGGGAGTAGACTGTCAGAGTGCAGAGACGTTTATAAAATGCAGGTAAGTGATGGTGTGGTTCTTCGGACCAGGGTGCAGTGGTGAAGGTGGTGAGCATAGCGTGGGATGGTTGCAACAGGATTTGGTGCTGGTTTAAATGTGAAGTTTGGAAGGAAAAGTCAATGGTGACTTAAAGGTTTAGGAAGAATGGAGTAGCCATAGAGTTTTTAGTTTTGTTGTAGTGTGTTTATTTATTTGTATTTTGTAGAGGGAGACAGGGAATTAGGGATTTAGCTTTAGACATGCTAAATCTGAGATGTCTGTTAGAAAGTTAAGTGAGTAAGTCAAGTAGGCAGTTGACTTACTGGCAGCTTAGTGGAGAAGTGAGAGACAATTTTGGAGATGTCAGTGAGCACTTGATATTTAAAGTATGGAAAAGCATGAGATCCAGCCAAGAATTCCCTCCCCAATCATTGATCCAGCTACCTACTCGACATCTCCACATAGATGCTTAAAAGCCAACCAAGATCAGTGTGTCCAAACCCAAACATCTGATCCTCCCCTGCTGCACCCACAGCCTCCTCATCTCAGCTGATGAGAGTGCCATCCTTCCATCGCTCAGACTGGCAATCACACTTTACTGTTTCTCATACTTCCCCATTCAATATGTCAGGAAATCCTGATCCTGTTAATTCTGACTTCAAAATAAATCCAGAATCTAATCCAAACGTTTCTCACCACCTCCACCATTATCATCCTGGTCAGGGCCGCTATGAGGTCCTTCTTGCCTGGGGTACTGCAATAGCCTCCTAAACTTCCTCTCCTTCTACAACCCTGCCCCCACCAGCCTATTTCTTAACACAGGAGCAAAAGGGATTCTTTTTTTAAAAAATTTTTATGTATGAGAGGGGAATAGAGGAAGAGAAACATCGATGTGAGAGGGAAGCATTGATCAGTTGCCTTTTGCATGCACCCCAACTAGGGGGCAAAACCCATAACTCAGGCACGTGTCCTGAATGGGAATGGAACTGGTGACCTTTCACTTCGAGACATAATGCCCAACCAACTGAGCCACACCAGCCGGGGTGCAAGAGGGATGCTTTTAAAACAGGTCAGTGTAAGTGTCTCTGCCTCAAACTCTCCCACCGTCTGCTGTTTCACTCACAGTAAAATAGAAAATCCTTGTGCTAACTCACAAGGGCCTAGGTGGTCTGACCTAGGTCCTTCGCCTTTGCCCTTTTCTGTTCTCTTCATGGTTCACTTTGCTCCAGCAAACACGGCTCTCCTTGCTGTTCTTCCAACGTGTTGGACACACTCCTGCCCCACTGCCCTCTGCTAAGAATACCCTTCTCTCAGCTTTTCTCCTTGTTTTATTCCATCACCTTCCCAAGATTTATCCTCAGGTCTCACTTTCTCAGTGAGACTGCTTCTGGCCACCCTTTTTAACATACGACACCTTTCAACCTGCACTCTGATCCTGCTTTCTGTGCTCTGACTTTTTCTTTTATTTTTTAAAATTATATTTTATTGTCCTGGCCAGTGTAGCCCAGTGGACTGACTGTAGGCCCGTGAAACAAAGGGTTGCCAGTTTGATTCCCAGTCAGAGCACATACCAGAGTTGCTGGCCAGGTGCCCAGGAATGTGTGAGAGGCAACCAGACATTGATATTTCTCTCCCTCTCTTTCTCCTTCCCTTCCCCTCTCTCTAAAAATAAATAAATAAATAATCTGTTAAAATTATATTTTGTTAATTATGCTATTATGATTGTCTCAATTTTCTCTTTTTCCACCCAACATCCTCCACTCTCTCAGTTAATCCCCACATGTCCATTGGTCACATGTACATGTTTCTCGGCTACTCCATTTCTCATACTGTACTTTACATCCCTGTGGCTATTCTGTAACTAACTATTGGAACTTCTTAATCTTCTCACCTCTTCATCCATTTCCTCACACTCTATCCCATCTGGCAACCATCAAAACACTCTCTATATCCATGATTCTGTCTCTGTTCTTCTTGTTTGCTTAGTTTGTTTTTAGATTCAATCATTGATAGATACGTATTTATTGACATTTAAAAAAAGATTTTATTTATTTATTTATCTTTAGAGGGAAAGGAGAGAGGGAGAGAAACATCAATGTATGGTTGGCATTTGTGCATCCCCTGCTGGGAACTGGCCTGCAGGAAACTGGTCTGCAACCCAGGCATGTGCCCTGACTGGGAATCGAACCGCAATCCTCTGGTTCACAGGCCTGTGCTCAATCCACTGAGCTACACCAGCCAGGGCTTATTGACATTTCTTATTAATAGTTTTTACTTCTTTTTCCTAAATAAATTTCTTTAACATTTCATATAATAATGGTTTGGTGATGATGAACTCCTTTAGTTTTTTCTTGTCTAGGAAGCTCTTTATCTTTCTTTTGATTCTAGACCACAGTTTCGCTGGGTAGAGCAATCTTGACTGTAGGTCCCTGCTTTTCATGACTTTGAATATATCTTGCCACTCCCTTCTAGCCTGCAATGTTTCTTTTGAGAAATCAGGTGACAATCTTATGGGAACTCCTTTGTAGGTAACTAACTGCTTTCCTCTTGCTACTTTAAAGATTCTCTCTTTATGTTTTCATGGGCCTCTTTGCATTCATCTTGTTTTGGATTCTCTTTGCTTCCTGGACTTGCATGTCTATTTCCTTCACCAAATTAGGAAAGTTTTCTTTCATTATTTTTTCATGTATATTTCCAATTTCTTGCTCTTTCTCCTCTCCTTCTGTCACCCCTATCATGTGAATGTTGGAACACTTGAAGTTGTCCCACAGGGTCCTTATGCTATTCTTATATTTTTGGATTCTTCTTTCTTTGTTGTTATTTTTTTAATTTAAAGATTTTATTTATTTCTAGAGAGAGTGGAAGGAAAGGAGAAAGAGAGGGAGAGAAACATATGTGAGACAAACATCGATTGGTTGCCGCTTACACACCCCTAGTTTGGGACCTAGCCTACAACCTAGGCATGTACCCTCACCAGGAATCAAACCTTCAACCTTCCACTTCATAAGCCAGCACTCAGTCCACTGAGCTACACCAGCCAGGGCTCTTCTTGTTGTTCCGATTGTTTTTTTTTTTTTTTTTGCTTCCTTAGGTTCCAAATCATTGATTTGATTCTCTGCTCTATCTACTCTACTGTTATTTCTCTGTAAATTGTTCTTTATTTAAATTAGTGTATCCTTCATTTCTGACTAGATTTTTTTTATGCTGTTGAGGTCCTCATAAAGTTCCGTGAGCATCTTTTTAACCAGTGTTTTGAACTCTGCCTCTGATAGACTGCTTCATTTTGTTTCATTCTTTTTGGAAATTTTGATTCGTTCTTGTATTTGGGTCACATTTCTTTGTCTCCTCATTTTGGTAGCCTCCCTGTGTTTGTTTCTATGTATCAGGAAGAGCTGCTATGACTCCCTGTCTTGGTAGCATGCATGGTCTAATGTAGTAGGTATTCTGTAGGGTCTAGTGGCACAACCTTTCCTATCACCCAAGCTGCATACTTGAGATGTGCCCCTTGTGTGGGCTGAGTACACCCTCCTCTCATAGTTGAGCCTTGATTGCCATTGGCAGGTCAATGAGAGGTATTAACCCAGACCAGTTAGCTGCAAGGACCGGCTGTGAACACTAGCCACCAACCTCTGCCCTCCATGGAGGATTAGCTGTGCAGGGGCAGGGTGGTGGTGTTCTGATATGGTCTATAGCTGTTCACTGGGTGCACAGGCTCTGGTGTTTCCCAGGTGGTGCAGATGAAGGTCAGCCCCAACCTATGTTCTGCTCAGTACCACCCTGCATGAGTTACAAAGCAGTGTAGAGGTGGCTGCTACTTGTGTTGGGCTTGTTGATTTCCAGGTGAAGCCAAGCTGTGAACCTAGGCTAACTGTTGCTAGTGCCAGGCCTGGAGCCACTTAGCAAGAGGTACAGAGACTGGGGGCTCACTGAGGCTGCCTGGTGCTTGTTTGAGAGAATTTAGGAAGTTGTGAAGCATGAGCCAAGACCAACAATTCACATGGAAAAGCCACTGTTAGCAGCTTGGATGCACCCATAAATTGGATGTGGCAGACCCCAGGGGATCTTCAGGGCAGGGCAAACAGTGTTAGCCAGGTTGGTGGAGTCTCATATATGGTACCCACCTACTGGTTCTATGGAACTGTGCGGAGAGGGTTCAGAAAAGGAATAATGGCCTCTGCCTACCTTTCTGTCTGGGAGAAAGCTGTCCCCCAGCTCTCACCTTGATGCCAGTCACTTCAGCTCCTCCCTGTGTGCCACTGATGCCTTTCAAGCTGCTACCCCAGTGCTGGAGTTCAAAGGCAGTGAGTCTGAGTGGTGAGATTGTGTGTGGATTCTTTAAGAGGAGCTGCTTGGGACTCCAGAAGTTTCTTCCATTAATTCAATCCCTGCTGGTTTTTGCAGCCAGAAGTTATGGGGACTTATCTTCCTGGCACTGGAACCCTGGGGTGGAGGCCTGGTTGGGGCTGGGACTCTTGACTCTCAAGATATCCCTCCCAAATTTTTATTCATCACACATGGGTATGGGACTGACCTGTTTCACATCTCTGACCCTCATACCCATCCAGATGGATGTGGTTTCTTTAATTTCATAGTTGTTGGACTTTCACTAAACTCAGTTTCTGATGGTTCTGAGTGATGGTTGTTCTGTATTTCAGTTGTAATTTTGAAGTGGTTGTGTGAGGAGGTGAGCTGGGTTTATTTATACCTCTATCTTAACCAGACTCTATCCTTCCTTCCTCTCTATCTTCTTTTTTTTGTACTTTTCATCTTGCAGCATCATATAATAAATTTATTTGCAAATGAGTTCTTTTAGAGCAGGAATATTTGGTTTGTCCTTTTTGTTTACTGGTGTGTCCCAAATGCCCAGAACATTTTCTGGAACATGACAAATGCTCAGTACATGTTCATTGAATGTATTAATGAATGGTTGACTGTAGAGCATAAAGAGATGAGTCTGATGGTCTCCCAGGCAGCCTGTGATGTGGGAGTAATAGAAGATGCCAAGAGTAGGTATAATACTGAGACTCTTTCTGGGCTGGGGGAAGAGTACCGATAAAAAAAAATATAAGGACCAGAACAAAGGAAGGGAATGGAAGAATATTAAAAGAATGACAATCTTACAAAAGTGGAAGCTAGAGAAACCATGTAGTTATTATTTCATTCATTCATTCATTCCTTTAGTAAGTCAGTCGTTCATGCTTTCTGTGCACCTACTATGTGGAAGATCAGTGTTGTGTCCAGTGCTCATTTTCCTGAATTAAAATGTTAAGTGTTCAATTGGATGAAAATGCGGTGTATTCTTTGAGCAGGATATTTGTGTCTGTCTCATAGGGCCAACAGCTGCCAAACATCTCAGAGGTGGGAAAGTGAAAGAAGAGTGAAGTGAATTGGCTGAAGTTCCTTCGAAGGGTACAACCGTGGAATCAGAACTCCAGAGCTTCCTGCGTAGGGCTGCTGTGTAGGCTGAATCTCTGTGACATCCCTTCCTGCCTTCCTCCTTTGTGAACTGTCTGAGGTCAGTCAAGCCTTGAGGCGGGACATGCTAGCTGGAGGAGGGGTTGCTGAAAAGTCTTACCAATTAGAAATGAGAGATTCATTTGGGTTAACCAGCTGGGTTTTCTAAAGTGCAGGTCCCCAGAAGGACTGAAATAGATGGGAACCGGGGTAAGCAGAGCCCCGTGGGGAGGGCATTCTGCCTGCTGGGGCTGTGCGCAAGGTCACTGGGCCCCAGGGCCAGAGGCAGCTGGGAGCATGCAGGGTGTGGCAGCGACATCCTCCACTGCCCTGAGTGTACGCGTGTGTGCACTGCTCATTCTGTGTCCTCTCCCACTTGGGGTCTATAAAACTCATCCCATTTTGTAACTGGTTATTTTATGGAAAATAGATTAGATAGCATGAAGGGGCTAACCTTTCATATCTTACACTTCGGTGTTATTTGAATTCTTAAAATGAGCGAGAGTTATTTTTTTATTTAAAAAATTGGTGGTGGCCGGTGTGGCTCAGGTGGTTAGAGGGTTGTCCCATAACCAAAAGGTCACCAGTTTGATTTCCAATCAGGCCTTGATTCTCCTTTGCAGTGTGGATCAGTGTTTAGCTCTCTCCCCCTTACTCTCTCAAATGAGAATATAACAAACCTTTAATTTAAAAAAAAGCTAAAAAGAATTGATGGTGGATGGGGTCAGGGTAATAAAATCACCTGGTTTCAAAGAGGTCCTGCGATCGAGTACTGATACTTGGACTTAGGCTTTCAGGAAGTTAGTCTCTTTAAAAAAAAGATGTTATGTATTTATTTTTAGAGAGAGAGGAAGGGAGGGAAAAAGAAAAGGAGAGCAACATTGATGTGAGAGAGAAACATCTATCAGCTGCCTCTTGCCCACACCCCAGACCAGGGACAGAAGCCACAACCCAGGCATGTGCCCCAACAAGGAATCCTAGGAATTCAACTGGCGACCTCCTGCTCTGCGGAAGGAGGCCCAACCAACTGAGCCACACCGGTCAGGGAAAGTTAGTCTTATTTTTTAAAAAGGACTATAGGGATTAAAAACACAGACATGCAAATAAGCCAGCAAATATCACTATTGCTGACATCTGTCCCCTCACTTCCACCATTGGTGATTCTTCCTCAGTTTTGGTCTCATTGCCTTTCTCCAGGCCTGTAAACTCCGCAAGGGCAAGGCTGTGGTCACTATTTGATCCCTGGATCATATGTAGTACATACACTTTCCAGCACAGAGTGGCCAGTCCATCAATAAATATTAAAAGTGAATGAGCCCTGGCTGATGTGGCTCAGTGAATTGAGTGCTGGCCTGTGAACTAAAGGGTCATCAGTTCCGTTCCCAGTCAGGGCACATGCCTGGGTTGCAGGCCAGGTCCCTAGAAAGGGGCACACAAGAGGCAACCACACATTGATGTTCCTCTCCCTCCTTTTCTCCCTTCCTTCCCTATTATCTACAAATAAATACATTTAAAACAAATTTTTAAATAAGTGAATGAAAAAAGGAAAAATAGAAAAATAAAAAGCAAAAGTGAATGAACTATGGCAACAATCTCTTGTCAATCTGCCTGACTGTAGTTTTACATTTGATACTAATTAAATTTAGCAAAGATTACCGATGCCCTTAGGAGGCCAGGTATTTCCTGCTATTTTCTTCAGCCAGCAGTCTTCACACTTTTTAGCTTCGGTATTCCCCAAATAAGTTTTAAAATTTGTATTATAATTTTAAATAAAGTGAAAAGATATAATTTCTGGCTTGTTATATATATTGACATTTAAAACTCTTTAACACTTTTTTAAAAGTATCTAATGGAATCTAAACATGATGGCAGCTTGATGCCCACCACTATTCTTTGAAAAAAGAAGAGACAAACAAGGTTTCCTTGACGTTGGAATTTTGTCTTGTGTCATTTTCTCCTTAAACTGGTGAAATACCTGTACTTTCTCACAAAGAGTTTTACCCTGATGCAACATATTTTTATTCTTGAATGTTTTTTATTGATTATCTTATTATTCTTTTCTGCAATAACAAAATATATGTGAATTGAAATAAATAATATTTTCTTTGATCAATAGATTATAGGTGTTAAATTTCTTCTGGATTGAATTAGTATAATTAGTAGTGCACAATGGTCAAAACAATATAAATATGTTATAAATTATGATCAATAATTACAATATGAAAACAAAATTTCAGAGAAAATTTCCCTCTTAATGAGGTGGATGGGCCTTGTAGACCTTGAGAAAGAAGATGCCTACTGAGAAGGGCTTCTTGTGGCCTAACTGGGCTCAAATTTAAAGAAATAGCTCAGCAGCCATTGCTACACAGAGGCCTCTCACACAAACTGCACTTGAGGGAGAAGCCTGTAATGAACCACCTGCCTTTGCACTGAACTGCTGGCCTGCACTGTCTTCCTTCCATCTAAGCTAGTCCTTATATAGGAGTGCCTGTAATCCTATTTCAACCAATAGGATTGAGACATTCCCCATCCAATTGGAGCTGTGCAGCTACATCCCCCCCCCATCAGCATCTTCACCAACCAATCAGAGAAATTCCCTTCTGACCAATCAAACTGTGAGTATTTGGAGTTCTCATTTGTATGAGAATGGACCAGTCAGGGGTCAGAGGTGGGGACTTCTGTCTGTATAAGCTGGCTACCCTCTGGCTTGGAGAGTGTACTTTCCCTTTGTACTGAAGACTGGGTTTTGTTTCCCAGGTTGCAGCTGAAACATCTCCTGGAGCAGAGCAAAGCAGAGTGGAGCTGCTTAGCTGAAGAGGGACCCAGGGCCTCTTCACAGCTGTGCTGCTTTTTAATTGAGCTATAACACTATAGAGCTATTCCATGGCCAGGCTGTATCACAACTGAGCTGTTTTGCACTGAATAAAGTTTCCTTCTTCACAGCACACCAAATTGGGGATTCCTGCTGGTGTTGAGTTGGCACCAACAACCATCAGTTAATAGCCTTTGTTTTTATTACTCCAGGTATTGGTGGTTAAATATTACTTTGTTCACATAAATAAGTAAATGGGAATGAAGACGGTTTTGTTTTTGCAGACTTCCTCAATTACTTGAGCCCCTTCTGAGTGATATGCCAAAAATCACATAGCACTCTATTATCAAAAATTAGTTTTAATAATCTATCAGCTGACAACTCAAGTTTCAGTTGTGTTGAAAACAAAGAACTGGAAAGCATCTGATTTTCAAAAGGATTTGTTGTCCCATTAGGCTCATTAACTTTTCAATTTCTGGGAAGCTTACTGAGAAAGTCTGTACCAAGACTTAAGAAATTAATGGTACTTGTATCTTGTATTTTTTCATGTAGAGACACCTTATTTAACCCAATATACTCAGAAATATTTGGGAACATAAAAATATTAATTTTAGCATGCTTTGCTAATATAATTTTTTAATGAAGTGCTTTTATCTTATTATAGGCCTTAGGTATAATTTGCCAAAACATCAGAGCTGCAGAGTTGACTTATTCAATCTAAGAGAAATCACCGCCATTATGAAAAATTGGCAAAAACAGTGTATTATCAAATTAATCAGCAGTCAGGCTTTGTTTTTCAGTTTCAGTGAATGTATCGTGTTTGCCTGTGACAAACATATTTGGTCTGAATTATAGTTCTAAATTAGATGGCTAGGTAAAGCAGAAATACTTGCCCGGAGTTTGCACCTGGCTGATGTAAGGTGCTACCACTCTGTATTTCCTTCTGAACTTCTCTCTGCTTTGCTCTTACAGGATTCTGTCCTTGAAGCAACATATTCTCTCAGAGCATTCAGGAGATGGAAGAAGCAATAAAGTTTGCCATCATTCCTTGTTCCCATTCTTCCATATACTGTATATAAATTGGAACGTCTCAACAAGTGCCATATTACCCTGTTTCCAATTCGAGGCTTCAAAATTGACAGAAATATGTGTAAGATAGGGAAAGACATGAAGTCTGCTATAGGTGTTTTGTTGAAAGAGATGAATTTTTTATATCCTGGGTCAATTTACTATGTAAGATTCAGAATGTGTGAGAGACCCCTTCGTCCTTCTTTCCTTCTCTTTCTTTCCTTCTCTTTCTTTCCTTCTCTTTCTTTTCTTCTCTTTTCTTTTCTTTTCTTTTCTTTTCTTTTCTTTTCTTTTCTTTTCTTTTCTTTTCTTTTCTTTTCTTTTCTTCCTTCCTTCCTTCCTTCCTTCCTTCCTTCCTTCCTTCCTTCCTTCCTTCCTTCCTCCCTTCCTTCCTTCCTCCCTTCCTCTCTCTCTCTTTTTCTTTCTCACCCCTAGACATTTTTTCATTGCTTTTACAGACAGAGAATCATCAATGTGAGAGAAACATTGATCAGTTGCCTCTAGTATGTGCCCGGGCTCAGGGTCATATGCACCTGGCTGGGGATCTTACGCACCCAGATGTACCTGCAGCCCAGGCATGTGTCCTGACCAGGCCTCTCAGGCCAAGTCTCTATTCCTGACCAGGAATAGAACCTGCAAACTTTTGGCCATGGGGTGACACTCCAACCAGCTGAGCCACACCAGCCAGGGCAAGAGATAGACTTTTCTTTTGTAAAGAGAAGGGATTGTGATGGTGGGAAAGGACAACAGGCAGAATGGTGTACCCTGGCAGTGCATCCTTAGATCAGTTTTAGGCAAAAGTACATATGGAAGTCAAGGACCCCCTTAAACTGGTCTCCTCAAACTATCCGTGTCTGCATACCTCTCAAAACCCCAGTTTAAAGACCACCATCTCAGTTCTGATCACCAACTTGTAGGTTAGAAGCTGGAGGGAGCGGCGTGACAGGGAATGTAGGCAGTTTGAAGAGGCTGACAGTCATCAAGAAAATAAGGACCTGAGCCCTCTAATTACAAGGAGCTGAATTCTCCCAACAACGTGAGTCAGCTTGGGAAAAGATTTATCTCTACAGTCTCCATAAAGGAATCCCCTCAACACGCTGGTGCAGCCTCTATGGGACTGAACAGAAGACCCCATTAAGCCAGACTGTCGGCTGGACTTCTGACTACGGAACAATGAGATAAACTAAATTACCACTTAGTTTGTGGTAATTTGCTATGGCAAAACTGAAAATAAACACATCACACTATAATTATTTGACCTTATTATATTCTGAGGTATTGACCCCACCACTTTATGACCTTGGTCAGCCCCCTCATGTTTTTATTTCCTTTCATTTTTAATTAAGACTTTGTAGTCTGGCATTCTAATCATTCCCTTATAAGTATCCTCAGCTCTCTTGTTATTTTCTTCTACTGCAGTGCTGGTCAGACTGGACTTGGCACAGCACCAGACTCACCTTGAGGGCTTGTTAAACCTCAGTTTGCTGGACCTTGCTTGCAGAGTTTCTGATTCGGGAGGGCTGTGGTGAGGCCTGAGAATCTGCATTTCTTACCAGTTTTCAATGATTCTGATGCTGCTGGTCTGGAGACCGCACATTAAGAACCACTGCTTGGCTCCAACAACCAGGACTGAACCCTACCGTGTCTTTTCTGCACTTACAACCAAGCAGGCAGATGCTCCTCAAGAAAAATTACTGACTGAGCTGACTGCTTCCATTTAAGTTTGCGATTACAGGCCCCAGATCGGCCCTCAGTAACTGCCTGGCTGTCCTTTCGAATTTCCCTAGTACGTTCTCTATCTTCCTCTACATTCTGTCTGTCCTCTCTTCTCTCATCTGCACTATCGATTCTCTCCTCAGCAGAGAACCTCACCTCCCACACATCAGGGAGGAACCAGAAGCCAGGGGACGGGAACTCCCTCATCTTCCCACCACCGAGGCTCTAACTCTGCTGGAAGCCACTCTCTCCTCCTGTTCAATGGAAGGAGACGTCAGTGGCCAGCCTCTACTCCTCTGCTCTGCATCCCATTGCTCTCACGTCTCCGAGAACTCTGCTTCTCTAATCCCCTCCTTTTCCCTGTGTGATTGATTGGTTCAATCTGGATTATTCCTCGTATCCCCATTTTAACCCTCCCTTGACCTTATATTCTCATCTAGCCACCATCCCATTTCTCTCCTCTTGTTCACAGTAAAAAACTATTGAAAAAGTTGTCAACTTATCATGTTTTTACCTTCTCACTTCCAATTCACTCTTTTAAGATATATGTGGGAGATGTAGTTATTTGCTAAATAAATATTACATCAGATACTTTATATTTGTTGAGCATTGTTCTGTGGTCCTGGCTCTCATGAGTTCATGGACCAATTCCTAAACACAGCATTGATAAGTGACAAGTGCTGCACAGAAAACAGAGGGATGTGGTGGTTGGTATGACTCATAAGGACATTAAAGAAATATAGAAAGAGTTCTGGCCAAGCAGGAGGCGTAGGTATAGCTTTGCCTCCTTGCACAACCAAAAGAAGGACAACAACAAATTTAAGAACAAAAAATAACCATACCTGTCAGAAAAATCGAACTGTATGGAAGTCTGACAACCAAGGAGTTAAAGAAGAAACATTCATCCAGACCGATAGGCGAGGCGGAGAGGACATGGCAAGGCAGCAGCTAAAGGACCAGGCAGGAGAGGTGGTAGCTTATGGTACCACATGTGCGTGCAGATAAACTGGAAGGAACAACTGGGGATCGAGACAGACTGTGCAGCCCAGGGTTCCAGTGTCTGAAAAGAAAGCCTCAAAACCTCTTGCTATGGGGATTGTGGCAGCGGGAGAAACTGCCAGCCTCATAGGAGAGTTCGTTAGAGAGACCCACAGGGTCCTGTAACATACACAAACCTACTCGTTCCAGAATCAGCACCAGAAGGGCCCAGTTTGCTTGTGGGTAGCAGGGGAAGGGACTGAAAGCTGGCTAAGAGCCAAGCAAGCAGCATTGTTCCCTCTCTGACCCCTCCCCCACATATAGAGCCACAACACAGGGAAGCCGGTTGCCCCGCCCTGGCGAATAACTAAGGCTTTGCCCCTTACAACGTAACAGGTGCACCGAGACTAAGATATATGCCCCAAATGAAAGAACAGATCAAAACTCCAGAAAAACAACTAAGCAACATCAGAAGTACAACTAAACTGTAGAACAATGTGTCAGACGCAGAGTTTAAAACACTGGTAATCAGGATGCTCACAGACATGGTCGAGTATGTTTGCAAAATAGAGGAAAAAGTGAAGGCTATGCAAAGTGAAATAAAGAAAAATATACAGGGAACCAACAGTGAAGGGAAGAAAACCAGGACTCGAATCAACAATCTGAAGCAGAAGGAAGAAATAAACGTTCAACCAGAACAGAATGAAGAAACAAGAATTAAAAAAAAAATGAGGCTTAGGAACCTCTGGGACAACTTTAAATGTTTCAATATCCAAATCATAGAGGTGCCAGAAGGAGAAGAAGAAGAACAAGAAATTGAAAACTTATTTGAACAAATAATAAAGGAGAGCTTCCCCAATCTGGCAAAGGAAATAGACTTCCAGGAAATCCAGGAAGCTCAGAGTCCCAAAGAAGTTGGACCCAAGGAAGCACACACCAAGACACATCATAATTACATTACCCAAGATTAAAGGTAAGAAGAGAATCTTAAAAGCAGCAAGAGTAAAGAGGGCAGTTACCTACAAAGGAGTTCCCATAGTGTTATCAGCTGATTTCCCAAAAGAAACCTTATAGGCAAGAAGGGGCTGAAAAGAAATAGTCAAAGTCATGAAAGGAAAGGCCCTACATCCAAGATTGCTCTATGCAGCAAAGCTTTCATTTAGAATGGAGGGGCAGATAAAGTGCTTCCCAGATAAGGTCAAGTTAAAGGAATTCATCATCACCAAGCCCTTACTATATGAAATGGTAAAGGTACTTATCTAAGAAAAAGAAGATGATAAAAAATATGCACAATAAAATGACAACAAACTCACAGCTGTCAACAACTGAACCTAAAAACTAACAAAAACAGACTAAGCAAACAACTAGAATAGGAACAGTCATATTGGAGGGTTATCAGTGGGGTGGGGGAGGGAGAGAATGGGGAAAAAGGTACAGAGAATAAGAAGCATAAATGATAGGTACAAAATAGACAGGGGGAGGTTAAGAATAGTGTAGAATATGAAGAAGACAAAGAACTTAAGTGTATGACCCAAGGACATGAACTAAGTGAGGGAATGCTGGTGGGAGGGGCAGTGCCAGGCAGAGGAGAATAAAGGGGAGAAAAGAAATGGGACAACTCTAATAGCATAATCAATAAAATATACTTAAAAATACATAGAGCCTCCACAAAGTGCGAAGAACAGAACACACCCATGAAGAAAGCAGACAAAGGTTCCTGTCCACATGGAATTTACATTTTAGTGACAGAGTGAAGAAAATAAGACAACAAAAATAAAATATATATATACTACATAGTAATACAAGAAACCAGAAGAAAAAACAAAAAGCCAAAAACCTGTGAGAGCTAGGGAGTGTATTTGGGGGGACTGCAGTTTTAAATAAGATGGTCAGAAAGGCCCACTGAGAAGGGTCATTTGAGTCTGGACCGGAGGGAAGAGGAGAGGGACATTCCAGGCAGTGAAACAGCAGGGACGAAGACCTGAGGGCAAGCGCGTGCCTGGCTAGTTGGAATAACCTCAAGAAACTGCAAGAAATCACAAGAAGTCCGGTCTTCCTGGAGCTAGGCAAGCAAAGGGGTTGGCAAGGGTAGGCTATGGGTCCAGGGTCATCAAGGGACCAGATGATGTAGGGCAGAGGTTAACCACTTTCTCTGAAAAGTGCCAGATAGTAAATATTTTAACCTTTGCAGGCTACCTATGGTCTCCGTTGAGTACTCTTCCTCTTATTTTTTTATTTCTAAACAACCCTTAAGAGCCAAACTTTTTGACAGTACAAGGATTTGCCCACTGGCCTTTGTCTGCCACTGCTGGCATCTTGAAGCTGTGATAAAGGTTTTGGTTTTGTACAGGCGACATGTTATAGAATTATACCCCTGGAACCTATATAATTTTATTAACAAATGTCACCCCAATAAATCCAATTCGTATAGTAAAAAAATAGACCTTGGTTTTACTCTGAGTCAGAGGAGAAGCACTAAAGCATTCCCAACAGAGGA